CACATTTCATAAATGCTTCGTTTGCTTCACAGTCTTCAGAAACAGCTAAAATGGTTGATCCGGTCTTCTGAAACAGCCAAAACGGTGGATCCTTGAGGGGGGGGGTAGTATATATATATATATATATGCTACCCCCCTAAAGATCCATGATTCTTACACTTCGCTGCGTTAGTCTACCAATGTGAACCCGAAACAACAAGCGCTTGAACCTACTTAGCCCTGTTAAATTTCGCGAGCTCCTTGTGAAAGCTGTTTTTTCGAAATGGCAGGTGTAAATCGCTTTTTGTGGGCTTGGTTGGTTCAAATTGGGTTGCCAAAAACAGGAACTCACCATCGCAGATGATCTCATCCAAAGCACAAAGAATGTTAGGGCCATGGGGAGATTTCCCGTAGACAAAAAAACATTAAAGACCATGTCTAACCTTGCAAACACGAGCTCGGTCGGTCGGGGCGGGATTAGTCTTTGGAACACGGAGTTGTTCATGGGGTCTCTTGCGCATCAGAGAGTGCGTTTTTCAGCGGTCATTTTCAAAAATAAGCGGCCAGACCGAAAAACCGGTGCGCGGGCAATGGCTTCTGGGTGTTGGTATGCCACGCCAGTCCATCGACGGGCCTTCCCCAGAGGACACACGCTTTTGTTTCTTTCTTTTATTTCGGCCTACAAAAAAACCCCACACCAATTCGTCTATCAATTTTGGGGAAATATTCAGCGATTCGTCCATTTGTTGCTATAGGCTTCTATTGATTTTCCGTTTTGAAATCTATTGATTTCAATCGTGGTCTTTCTAATGATTTTTATGGATTTTTCCATTGGTTTGTAAACAAAAAACCTATGGATTTTATGAAAAATTGATTTTGATGACGAGCTTCAAGCAACAATCCGGAGGCCCCAACTTGTTGACGCTAGACCCCTAGACCCCTAAATCCTAATTCTCTAACCCCTTTTTCATCCTGCTCTTGAGATCTAACCCCTTAAACCCTCAAACCCTTCAACACAACTCCCTAAAGCCCTATACCTCTAAACCCCTAACCCTAAAGCCCTAAAGCCCTGAACCGTAAACCCCTAAAGCCCTAAACCCTTAAACCCCTAATGAACATATTTAGGTCTGTTACATCGGTTGGTGACCAGGGTTTCGTCTAGGGGATTGGGGTTTTAGTCTCTTGGTACATCGAGAAGGAACAGTTGATTTGTGTAAACTTAGGACCTAAAACCTACAGCGTTTAAGGCCTTAAGGGCATTGGGCTGTTGTGTTTCGTCGGGATTTCGGCGATTAGGGGTTTAGGCGCTTTGGCGTTTCGGGGTTTTGGGTGTCGGGCTTTACGGCTTTAGGGGGCCCAAAGGTTTAAGGATTAGGGCTTAGTGGTTATTGAAGCACACCAATTGAAAAATCACAGAACTTCATGGCTTGTTTATGGTCGTTCATGCGTGAAGAACATGAACAACCATGAAGACACATGAAGGTCTGTGAATTGGTCAGTGGGTGTGCTTCAATAGCCACTATAAGCCCTGACCCACAAACCTTTAAAGCCTTAAACCCCTTTTTTGAGTCACGGGCTAGGGCCGGACGTCCGAAACCCCATAAACCCCTAAAGCCAAAAACCCAAAACGCCTGACCCCAAAAACCCTAAACCCCTGACCCCTAAATGCCAAAACCCCAAAGCCCCCAAACCCCTACCCCTGAACCTGTGGACCCCTTGCAGGCATAGTGTTCAAGGGAGCGATAGCTGTTTCGGCTGGATTGCTGAATCCCCGCGGAAGGCCACATTGAAATATTGAGCCACATTGAATTTCAATATGGCGGTTCCAAGATCCAAGATTGCACTCGGCTCTTTGGAGGAATCTTGGATCTTGGATCCGCCATATTGAAATATTGAGGCCATATTGACTTGCAATATGGTGTACCTAAGATCCGTGATCCAAGATTCCTCCCAGGAGTCCGGTGCAATTTTGGATCTTGGATCCGGCATATTGAAACCCAATGTGGCTCAATATTTCAATGTGGCCCCGCCCCGCGGATGCCAGATTGAAACATTGAGCCGCATTGGGTTTCAAGATGATTGGTTTGTGCGATGGCTGATTTGTGCGGATTGTGAGTGGGAAGAG